CTCCGGCCGCGCCGGGGAGCGCGGAGCTCGCGGCGCCGCCCCGGCCCCAGCGGACACGGAGGCGGCAGCGGGGCCGTAACGGGGACTGTAACGGGGACCGCACGGTGCTGCCGCGGTGCAGCCTGGGTATGCTAATGAGGGACACGCTAATGAGGGACCCGTTAATGAGCGCTCCCGCGCCGCTCCCTACCTTCGTACTGCACCTCCAGGTGCACGGAGCGCAGCACGGCCAGCAGCGGTTCCACCAGGCCGCCCGGGGCCTCCCCGACCGCCTCCTGCCGAGCAAGGCCCAGTGCTGTGACCCTGCTGCCCACGGCGGCACCCCCCCTCCCGTGTGGCACACAGGGAAACGGCTCCGCTCCTGCTGGCAGCAGCGCCTGGCCCTTCTGCTGGGATGCACAGGGCTGTGCCCGGTACCCCAGCACCCCTCTCCTCTCAGCTGGTCCCTCAGAGCAGGGCTGGGCGGTCCCTGGCACCCCAGCACCTCATGGCCAAGCACTGGTCCATCGTGCTTGGGGCTGCAATGTTGTGCTCAGGCTGCCTTCCTGCCTCGCAGCCCTGCGTGGGCGAGGGGACACTGACCCACCAGCCTCCCTCAACACTGAGCCCTGGGACTGCTCCCAGAATTTCCATGGGGGTGCTTCAAGTGAGGGGGAAGCTCGTAACTCACACGGGGAAATCTCCTGCCCTCGTTGCTAAGGTCAGGAGCAGGGTTAAACCTGCACCAAAGCCCCATAGAGCTTTCTCCTGCAGGGACCTGGAGGGCCAGGAAGGGGCTGTCCAGGGCTGGGGAACACTAGGGACCGTTAACCGCTGCCATTCCCCAGCAGGACTTGCTACCCACCTGCATGACCCTGAGCGTCTGCAGAGAGAGCTGCTGGGCTCGCGGGGAGCTGCACGGCAGCACGGCAACGAGGCCTTTGTAGACTTGGTTCTGGTACTTAGGATTGCCGCGGCCCAAAGAGTCCAGCAGGAGCTGTGCCTCCTCCTGAGCCTCTGTCGATGTGGACGTGGCCAAGAACTCGGCGATGGATCGCACGCCTGTGCAGGCAAAGATAGGCCAAGTCACAACCTGGATGAGTTTGCGGGTCCCACATCTCAGCTGCTTTACTTGATATCCTGAAATAACCCAGCACCGCATCCCACTCAAAGCACGGCTCCAAAAAACAGAAGCCAAGAAAAGTGTTCTTTCTTCTGGGAGGCATGCTCTGAATGGCACAGCTAACGATACTTGACTTCTACTGCTGGGAGAGAAAATGGAAAAAGAAAAAAAAATCATAATACTCTTTCCAGAGATACAAGCTGAAAACCCTCCTGCGTCCAGAGGGAAGGCTTGCAGTGGGTAAACGCTGCAGGAAAGAACAAAGCCTGGTTTGTGATTTTGCCTGCAGCAGTTGCCACCAGCAGGACAGTAATATCACATCAAAAGAAATGTGTATAAATAAATTTGGCTTAAAAAAAACAGAGGCGGCGGGGGTGAGATTCTACCACTCAACAACAGCCAAGTCTCTGAATTCTTCTGACAAGAGCGAAGCTGCAGCAAGCTGCTGACCAGCGGGTGTGAGGAAGGGAACAGGCCTGGATTTACAAGGAGCCCCCAGGCCAGGGGCCAGGGAGAAGCTCCTTGTCCGGACGCGTAGAGTGCAGCCGGACACGCTGCCTACCGTAGCTCTCACAGATGAGCTCCTTGTACTTCCTGCCAGCATTTGCCACGAGCTGAAGCAGCTTCACAGACTCCCTTTTGTCCTCCTCTCTCAGGTGGTTCAGCCCCAGTATTTCCAGGAGAGTCAGGACGCCTCCAATCTCCAGAAACTCAAGGAGGTATCTGCGTCTGCGGGCACAGGAGCAAGGCCAAGAATGACACTTGGAGCCCGTCTTCCCCCCTGCTCCCGGGAACCATGTCCAGAGGCTCCATGGCGCAGAGCGAGCAGCCAGGGCAGAGGGCTCATGGTGCCGGTGGCTCTGCTGCCTGCAGGTCGCCTGGGCCCCTTTCATGCTGTGCTCGTTCGGATGTGGAGCCGGGGGCACAGAGGCCTCTGCCCTCAGTCCTCACCAGACTGCTGTGCACCAGGCAGCAGCACATCTGTACCGAAACCCCTGCTGTTTATAGCCAGCCACGGCCTGGCTGGGGTTGCCTTGCACGCAGAGCGTGCACAGCCCTCCCGAGCCCCTGCCCAGGACTGGTTCCTTTTCCTGCTCATTCCCTCACCCTCGTGTGCCTTCCTCCCTGCACTCCTCACCGCAGTGACATGCTGTGCTTACCCGCTTGCTGCTGATAAAAAGATGCCAATGGACTTCAGCAGCTTGTCTAGGCAAGTGCCATACATGTAGCTGTTTGACTAGGTTAAGGAGGGAATCACAGAGCATCTTGGTGTTCCTCAGGCAGCCCTTGGCTTTGCTTGGTCTGCACCTGGGTAGTCTCGGGAGCGGAGACCTCCCTCCCTCCCACAGGCCCTGCAGAGACAGCGTGCTCATCCCAGCATGGGCAGCGTGGCCTGGCCAGACGGCCTTGCAGAGGGAATTTGCACTACGTTTCTCAGACTAGAAGGACAGGATGTTCTGAGATGAGTTTTGCTGAGGTGAGAAAAATACAAGTTCTAGGTCCCTGAGAGCCAGGCTACATGAATTTCCCTTCAATTCCAGCCTATTTCCCCCTCTAGAGAACATGGCTGAATATGGATGCCTCCACAAAGAAACTTATTCATCAAACACATTTCTTTGCTGGAGAACTTTCCCTTCCCCTCCATCCCACTACTCTACCCCACCTCCACCTTTCAAGGAAACGGATACGTCATCCGGAGCCAGGCTGTTAGGCGAGCCAGAAACAAGCTGGCTCCCTGGGAGAACTCCAGCTCCAGCTCTGGCCCGGTCTTGCCAGAATTGCTTTCAATGAAGGTGTCCAGGATGTGGCTTCGAGCAACTTTGCGGGCACTGTCCCATTCCTGCAGGAATAATCACACTCAAGATCTTGCCTGATAAATAATTATAAAACATTTAACAGCCATTAATTGCATCTGATTTTCCTTTCTATTTATTTATAAATAGAAAAACTAAGGCAAAAAGAGAGTTCCTCATACACCTGATATTACCCATTGCTCTAGCCTTATTTCTTGCTAGTCTCATTATATGCTTCACATAGCTGACCTGTCACAGAGTAAATAGGGTGAAATGAGGGCATAAATAGGTATGAATTTATGGGTCATGAGAGGGCCAAGGGCACTGTAAATGCTGTTTGCACAGCAGGGTGGCGTGTCCTCACTGAGGAGGCGGAGGGACAGTCATTTTGCATTGGGCCAATGTCCCCTCCAAGAAGATGTGTTTGGCCTTTGCAGTGAAAAAGCGGTTTGGGACCCTTTCACACAGTGGCCATTTGCTCCTTTTTCCTTATCTAATCCCTGTGCAAAGGTTCTGAGTTTCAATTGGCATGATTTTAAACTGCTTGGGAAAGCCTGAAATGCTTAGAAAACACTTGCAAGAAGACTGAAGCTTCTGAAATGGCCTTTGCCTGCACCTCTTCTCATTCCTCCGTATAAGTGCATTCCGTATTCTGCCTAATCTCTTTGGCACATTTTTGAGTCATTATGATATCCCTCATTCTAGATTTAAAAATGTGAAGATGCCCTTAGTAGGGCCATGAAATGGCAGAGGACGAACCTCTGCCCATTCATGTAGGTAAGAATTCCACTGACACATAGGCATTTAAGATGCTGGCAAGTCTCAAGGAATCTTACAGTTAAGCATATAGAGTGTGATTAAGTGCAATAATAAATAAACTAAAATAAAAATAAAAAAGACAAAAAATGGGGTGTTTCAGAATATTTTATTTCAATGTCACCAAAATTACCAGTTTTCTACCTGCACAATTCTTAAGACTTTTCTCCTAGAACTTTAAGCAAAATCCCAAATTAATTTCAGAAAATCCCCAAGATTTTTCCAGTGTCCAAGGCACCTGCTCCAGGTTACCTTTCTACTGCTATGACCTGAACTAATGAGAGGTGAAAATGTACCATATCTTGCTGTTTGAAAACAAACAAATTCTTGAAAATGTTCGCTAAGAAACAATATTCGGGAATTAAGATGAGATGAAATTCCTTTGGGAATTAACAGCCTGTAAGGAGCCTGTGTCCTTGGCAAGGCATTTTCAGGATCTCCTTTGAATGGAAGCAGGTTTAAAATAAATCCATTTTCCCAAAATAGTTGTGATTGAAAGTGTTATTAGCCATAACAAATGTTAGTGCTGACAGGAGAATGGCCTGTTAGGGGCCTTTGGTGAAACAGTCAAGTGAAAGTCATATTTCACATTATTGCAAGCATTTTCCTGTGATTTACAGAATATTTGTGAAACATTACTTGCAAGGCATATGATTGATGTCGAGAGAACTGCTAGTGTGTAGGGGGAATCTGTATTTCACAGAGACTGTTTGCATGAAATTTACAGTCTCATAAAGGGCTCCTCTGTCCTCAGCAGAGATCTAGTTAAAAGAACTTTACAGTCTGAAACATCCCAAAATTGATTCTAAATTAACATTTCCATATTTATGTTTTAGATGCTGGCAGTGTACTCTATCCCATTTTTATTAGAAAGCCGCAATAACCCCAATAACCCCCACTATTCAGAAAGCAACCTCTGGACGTGAGGATTTTAGTGATATAAAATGCTTGCCTTTGGATCACTGGCAAAGAAAATGGAGCTGATCACATGGAGCTTTGAGGGTACAAAGGTATCAATACCCGGTTGGCATAATAACAGAATCTGCTGACATAGTGGTCTTCATGCCAGCATTGCGGAGCACCCTAAAAGTGTGTAACTTTTTATCATGATCATTTTACATATGAGAACATACAGACACAGGGATATTGCCCCAGTCATTTATCAGTGGCAGTGAAACCTAACACCTGGTTTTCCGCTTCAAATTCTGCTCTGGCCAGTGTTGTACTGCTGCTCCTGCACCTGGATCTAAAAATCCAAACAGGCCTGGGTCAGAGCAGAGCTTTTGTCCCCCCCCAGGAGAAGGACAAGTGATTTAGAAAGCAGTGCTGGCGCTTCAGCCGTTCCAGGTGTTGCTAAACCACCAGGTTGAGCCCAGAGAGTTGGTGCTGCCAGCGCGGGCCAGGAGGGACACACAGCCTTGGAGCGGTGGCACAGACAGGGCGCAGCGGTGACTTGGCGCCACCTTTGCACCTTGCAGCACCGCGGCTGTGCCCAGCACGAGGCGCACGTGGGAGCTCCTGCTTCCCCGGGGCTCTCACCCTGCCTGAACCCCAGCCCCACGCACCCTGCCCCCCTTTCCTAGGCATCGCCATGGCCTCCATCCATCCCAGCCACCCGCATGCCCAACCTCCCACCCTCGTCACCAACGTTTATCCCTGCCAGGAGGCTCCTCCCTGCCTCCCCTCACCCCCATCCAGCCTTTTCCCTCGCCCAGATCCACCCCAGCCCCACCGCACAGTCCCACCCGGCCTCCCGGGGCCTCCCCAAGCCCCACGTTCCCCTGTCTCCAACCGCCCTGTCCAGCCGCCCCATCCCGCCATGTCCGCTCGCCCCGACCCCCCTCACCTGCCACCGAGGGGCGGATACCCTGCGGCGTGACTGACATCCCGCCCAGCCAATCCCGGCCCG